TTCCTGGTTTGTGCTGAGACAATGGCACTGCCATCTGCTCTGACGGCACAAAGGCAGCGGAGGGTTAGACCGCTGCTGCCTGAGCGTCGTCAGCCAGGGCGATGCTCCCGAACTCCGGGAGCAGTCGCCATGTTCCCCACTGCCACCAGAGAGATGAATGACAGGCAGACAGATGATAGAGAGATGACCGGGTTTCATCTAACAATGTCACTGAAGAAGGAGCGGGAATTAACTTTTTAAATCTTGACTCTTGCGGTCCGTTTTTAAAAAACATTCTGCGGAACGAAATGGGATGTATGCGAAGGTTATCTAGAGGAAAAGTGTTTATGAAATTATCTGAGCTGCAAGCTGAACGAGGCACTTTTTTCAAAGAACACCACACGGTGAGGAGAGAAAGTGGATGTGAGGATTCAACTATTTTCTAAGGCAGACGTTAAAGAGATTTGCAAAAATAAAATGTGATGCTGCTATTGTTCTTAAATTCTTTCTATTAATAAGCAAAATACACATTAATTTTTAAGAGTGTAAAAGTGTCCTGAAACCAATAATGTGAGAATAGTTACTCTGAACCTTAAATATTATATATATTTTCTATGCCTAGAATAGACTACATGTAAAATTCAGCGTTAAGGGAAACCTTAGTCAGAACAAAAATCCCAGAGGCTGTAAAAGAAAAGCCAACATAATTCAATATAGTTATCTTTTAAAAATTTTTTAAAGATTTAAGGCAGAAGAGTTTATAAAAAATCAAGTCAATAAATATATCTTTAAAATATTTGCAATGGAGGAGAAAAAGGGTCAGTATCTGTAATATACAGAGAATTCATACAAATTGATGTGAAGAGACAAATACATTTTAAAAAAAGGAGAAGGGATATGAATAGGAAATTACAGCGGAGGAATCCAAATACCCCACGAAGCAAACACAAAGACATTCAAACTCACTACTCAATGGAGATGCAAAATCAAAAGAAAGAGGAGATAGCACGTTGCCGCCATTAGACTGGCAGAAAGAAAGAGTATTCTCTGAGTATTCGGGCACTTCCTGTGTCCCTCATAGTCATGAACCGGTAATTCATTCTCTATCATTTGCTCTTTGTGTATTCCTTATAAGAGACAAGGCGGCGCAGCGGCTAACAGTGTGGACTGCCGAGTCGGACCGCCTGGCTTTGACTCCCGGTGCCATCACTTACTTAGCTGTGTGAACTGGGCAAGCGATCTTCTCCCCCTCAGTTTCCCCATCTGTGAAACGGGGCTAACAGCAGCACCTACCACGGGGCTGTGGTGAGGAGCAGACGGGTGAAGACACGTGAGGCGCCCAGAGCAGCGCCTGGCACTTGGTGCTGCTCCACCAGTGTGGGCAGCGTGACCGGGCTGTTATCACCTCGCCCATCTAGACTTAAACGCTCGGAGGTGTTTTCAACCATCAATACTCTTGGATTTCTTTTGCCGACCTTTCCCATTATTTCCTGGAACAGTGTTATTTCAAGATCTTCAGATATTTGTTGGGTAAATAAATGAATGACTCTTAGATGTGAGAAGTCCCTAGAGAAGGAAATCGCTGAGCATGACTGTCATTTAACATGACGACGGGCAAGTAAAAGTCCATGGCTGATTTCACCTGGCATTTAAACCTATTTTGTTAAGAGGGAAGACTATTTGCCTTAAAATCAGGCCTCTAGAATAGTACAGGAAGGCCTTTCCTCCCCATTTACAAAGATGAGCCTGACACAAGGAACACAGTCTTAGGAGGTCATAAGCAAACATGAGTCATTTGAAGTGAGGACATTCCAGAGCCTTGTGACACACCATCAGCCCTTTGGGAACATATAACATATATTCGACATAAAAATAAATTGTATTAAAAAACACATTTCTTCAAAGCACTAGATGAGATGCACTCGAACCCTTAACTTGTAGTTGTCACTCGCCCGTTCTCTTGTGTGTCCTGTGCAAGCTTATCTAATGATGCTTTTAACTCTCTGGAGGTTGTCAGGGGTCTGCAGTCTCACAGGCTAAGCGAGTATAACACGCAACCTAGAAAAGGACGAAAACACCTGCCCGATGCCATCTTTTCCCTCCTCCTGCACGTGCCGCTTCTCCCTCTCGGCTGGATCCCTCCCAACAGCATTTAACCAACACGCTTAGGTCTCTCTCAAATTAAAAAACAACACAACACAAAACAAAAATGCCCAACTCTCTTCCCTTGCTCTTGGCCAGACTGGTGGGGAGAGCTGTAAATGCTCATCAGCTCCATCCCGTTCCCTCGCCCCACGTGCTCCTCCGCCGCTCCGGCTTCTGCCCCGTTAGTCTACGAAAACGCCCAGCACTGACCTCTGTCCTCTAAGCACACGTGTAATTCATAAGGATGTGCGTAGATGTGTTTAGTTTTCTGAAACAGACTCATACTGTTCACATTACTTTTCAATTTCCTTTTTCCATTTGACATTATATCCTGGACAGTCTCCGAGTCAGGAAAAAAAAAACAAAAAACTTAAATTTTTAATTCTGGCATGTAAATGTACGTGTCTTCAGACATAACTAAGTGTTAACAAGCAGAAAAAGTCATTACATTTTTAGAAATTGGAGGAGAAAATGAGGATTTGCGCCTGGGGGTCCTCTCGCGAGTTGCCAGCGAAGCGGGATGAGGAGCGGCCGAAGTGGCCAGAGCGCAGATGTCGGCCCGGGCGGCACGAAGCGAGCGTAACCGCGCCAGGCCCCGGCCTCGCGCCGGCAGGACCGTCGTGTCTTCAGAGGCACCGAGCAGCCAGCTGAAAACGACGGCTCCGCTATCGGTGTTTTGGGTCTAAATAGTAAATTTTAAAAGTATTTTACGTTGCTAGGCAAGATGACGCGTGACTCTAAGACCTCGAGAGTAATTCTGCTGCCGCCTTCGAAGCTGGCACCTTGGGAAGTGATACTCGTGTTCCAACAACGGCGCCACTTGCTCAAACGATTTTTGGAAAATCTCCTTTAGTCGGAGCATTTTTCACTGTCTTGTTTCTTTGCGATTTTAAAAGGCAGTTTTAAAAGTTAACACCCGGCCTTGGAGAAAGCTGAGTGAGACACAGACACGCTCAGCCTGCCCAGGGCGCCCTCGCCGATGCCTGCCGCGCACTATTGGGGTCACGATGGAGGTCGTCCAGGACCTGCCGACCTGAGTTCACCATCAAAAGTCAAGCTATGGCCCCAAAGGACAGATCCTTTCCCCTAGGACTTCCCACCTTCACCCCTTCGAGGACACAAAGGCGGCGTCTCATGCCGTGCCCAGAAGACTGAGTCAGGAGCGGGGCAAACGATGGCCCCTGGGGCCCAGAGGCCTGTTTGGGGGTGTCCCATAAGCTAAGAACGATTTTCACATTTTCAAATATTTGAAAAAATTTTTTAGTGACACATGAAATTCAAGTTTTTAGTGTCCATAAAGTTTCATGGCAATACAGCCATATTCGTCTATTTATGTACTGTGGATGGCCACTTTGCATTAAAATGGCAGATTCGTGGGACTGAAATAGGCTGTGTGGCCCGCAAAGCCTAAAATGTTTACTGTCTTTCTCTTTCCAGAAAAAGTCTGCTGATTCCTGCTCTAAACCAGATTTTACTGCCATTGACTCTCTGGCGACCTCAGGTTGGTCTCCTCCCCTCTCTGGATCCGCCTTTGTAAAAGGTGCGGCCCGGATGCCCCTCTGAGGTCCAGAAGGCGCTTGTCAGACAAGGCTGTGAGCAAGAACACGTGCTGGTGCCACCTACAGCCCACGAAGAAAGTGGCAGGCGGGAGCTGCCCTAGGAGGGCCCGTCACTCACTGGCAGATCTCGGCACAGCTGTACGTTTGGCGGAGGGCTCTTAAATGAGCTCTCGCCCCCATGAACAGAAACCTTTTAAATGGATAGACCACAAGTCCGAATAAAAATACAGCCTCCAGCATTCACTCCCCATGAAGGAGGAGGGATGCAAATCACTTACTACCACAGAGAACCAGAGAGTTCAGCGCATATGTTTTTTCTAGATCTCAGGGAAAAACTATGAAAAGAAGAGGCTTGTCATCTGAAAGTCCACCTAGAGCCCAGAGGTCACCATTCTTCACATCATGTCAGGTGACTCACCCATGTGACTTCTGAACCTTCAGGCTCTAAATAACCAGGCAAGCAGAGTTTCCACAGCCGAGGAAACCCACATCAAAAGGATGCAAATAACAGTGCAGTGGTTAGTTCCCCAGCTCAGAAACAAGCCCCTGGCAGTTGAGCCTCCCGCCCAGTGTCACTATCCCCGAGGAAGACAGCTGGCAGCTCGTAACCCTTCAAAGCAAAACTCTCAGGTTTGAAGAACGGTTATCTTTCAACCTGCCACAAATCCTGAGAGCCACACAGTGTGGCATCCCAGGCTGGCTGCAGCACCCCCGCCAAGGTGCAGCAGACGGTCCCTCAGACACGGCCACCCACAGTCCCCCTGGCCTGACCCTCCTGCTGCTGGGGTCTAACTGAGGTCCCACGGCCTGGCTGCTCTGGTGATGAGCAGTCCCTCAGACACGGCCACCCACAGTCCCCTGGCCTGACCCTCCTGCTGCTGGGGTCTGAGGTCCCACGGCCTGGCTGCTCTGGTGATGAGCCCTGAGCAGGACGCAGACAAAGGGATGCTGAGACTGCAGACCTCGGAGAGGACTGGAAGCTTCCGCGTCTTCCCTCCTGGAGCCCAGCCGCCCGCCGACCGATGAGAAGTCCAGGCCGCACACCTGAACGATCAGCGCTCACGTGGCTCACGTGGACAGAGGCTGTGCCGTGGAGGGCGTGAGGCCAGCCTGGACAGGGAAAGTGGCCACGTGACACCCCCAGTGAGCCCAGCAGAAAACCACCCAGCTGAGCACTAGCCAACCTACGGAACTATAAAAAAAATAACGTGGCAGGGATCAAAATCCTCATTTCCGGAGTCACTTTTCAAGGCAAGGACAAGACTCAGAATCATTTGGCACAAGTTCCCTATGTGGCATCAAGAGCCGCCAACTTACTTCATCATCTTCGTCTTCATCATCGTCAGATTCAAGAACACCATCCGGTAGCTCTTCTATGAGAAAAAAAAAAAAAATAAACAAAATAAACAAAATAAACCCAATGAATAGCTGCAAAAACAGTTGGGAGACTTGGTCAACGAAATCCCTGAGCCACTGCAGAGACGTGCGAAACGCCCGGACGAGAATTAGGTTACGACACAACAATCGTGTTCCTGTCCCATTTCAGCTAGTTTGATGTCGTCCTGAGCAATTTTAAATATCGCTCTCCATTTTTATCAAAAACACAGTAGTGGCAGCATGAGAAAAATTAAAAGCCAACATGTAATTTCAGAGGAATCTAGAGGAGAGTGAGCATCACTGCCAGACACTGCTACAAACTGCCGCTCGTGCGATTTCACTTAACCCTTCCGATGATTTTGCTGACCTTTACCTCCACTTTATGGCACACAGCACATGGAGGCACAGAGAGGATGAGGGGCTTGTTTGCGGTCACACTGCCAGTAAATGACAGAATTGAGATTCAGACCAAATCTAGTTTGAAATCCCATGATTCTTCCACCGAGGACAGGGGGAGGGTCGTGACAGCTCAAGTTCCTGAAGGCTCCTGTGGTGCATTGCTAAATCTTCAGCTTTAACTCGAATGCTCTGATAATACTCAGCACTTCTGGATGATCAGTGTTTACTGACGAATGAATGGCTGACTTGTCTGGGTATCTCTCTCCCCCACTGCACTGGACTGTGAGTCCTTGGGGACGGAGCACCCCATATCCTTTCTGCATCTGCTTTATTCTATCACTCGTTTCTTGAACAGTCGACAGGAAAGTAAAGAAAGCGGGAGGAAAGAGGAAAGGAAGTCACGTAGGACGTAGGAAGAGGAGGAAACCAAAGACCATTCTTGAAGAGACTGGTGGCAGACTCGCCTACACTTAACTAAATCCCCAAACCATTTCCTAGAAAAGGAAACACGGAAACCCCAAGACACCCCCAAACTTCAACGCAGCTTTCCGTCTAAAGGGAAAGACTCCACTGCCGTGGCAGGACACCGACTTCTGTCCCCACCTCCTTGGGGCTTGCATGGCTCCATGCCCATCACGAGCCACGCTGCAGGCATGGAGTCTATTTGGCCTAGAAAGCCGCTCTGCGGACAGGAGGACGTTCTGTCATTCTGCACCTGGGCTGAAGCCTGATCACCTCGCTTCTATTCCCCACTGGCCCGTGAACTGCACGACCCCACTCCATCCTCGATAAAGGGCTTTCAAGCAAGTGGCTTTCAAAATGGAGATGTTGCTAAATTCACCAGTGATAAACCTTCCTTTTCTTTTAGAGTCTTAGACATTTCGGGGGCCACTGGATAGTCCAGCTGCTCTCCCCTCTCTCAAGCCTGCTGGTTCCCACTCATCCTGTCCTGTGAACTCCTCTCCAGGATGACGGGGACGTGAGCTTGGTCCCCAAGCCGTTCCTGGAGTTGTGGCACCCCATAAGGTGCCCTTGCATCGACAGCCCTGCCTTTCCTGAGGCCCCAGCTGGTGAGGCCGGCTCTGCCTTGCTCCTGCCCAGTGACCTGCTAGACCTCCCTGTCCTCTCCTCAGTGACCGGTGAGTGTCCGCTGGTCCCCTAGCTGAGCGCTAGGGTTACTGACAAACTTGCCGTGGTTGCTGGTGGCTGCTCGCCTCTGCCTGTCACATTACCGGGCTGGAGTCTCCCCTCAGGCTTCACCTGAGCAGCCCGACCCGCCTGTGGCTTAGGTCCCCAGGTAGCCAGAAGTCCTGCGCTTGGAGAGGGTTGAGATGGGCCTGAATGTATGAAAACCCTCGTACGTGTTTTCGTGTTCACTAAGAGATCAGTGCTCTAAATACAGATGGCGGCAATGCCATTTCACGTATCTTAAACTAGCAAACGGCTAATTCCTACTCTGCTATTAATTTCCACCCGAGGATGAAGAGGGGACTGGACAGAAACTGTCCAGCTCTCCTTCTTCTAGGCTCCATCACGATGCTGGTGGGTTGATTTTGACGTGATGCTGATGACGCATATGCTAAGGTATTTGTGTGTGTATGTCTGCTCCTCCATCCAAATAAATGTTCAGTGACTTTCTAGTTCTGTTTCAAAGTAGCAGACTCCTGGGTATTCACCTCTGGACCTACCATTGTCCTGTGGATACAGAATAACTTAGATACTTGAGATAAAAAAAGAAATACTTTAGATACTCTTTATTTAAATTGGAACTCACTGAGCTAAGCAGGTATTTCCTAAGCTTTTCCTGAATACACAAGGCTTAAAGCTTTAGCTCTGCTCAGCTAACTTCTTGCCAAAGCACGTCCCCCTACAGAAATGTAAACTGACCCCCCCAACACACACATTCTTTGGCATGCTGCTCTAAGGACCAGTTTTATGTAAGAGAAAGAGATGTTTTATAGCCGGAGAGGGATGGGGCCTCGCCCTGCCTCTTGGCTGCCAGGGAGGTGGTGAGTCTCGATGAGACTGAAACAGAGTCGGCCTTGAAGAAGGTCCCAAGTGCAGCCCTGCAGCTGCAGAGGACCCCTGGCTTGCGAGGGAGGAGTCAGCAGAGCTGGGACCATGGAGCAGAGGGGGAGCATCTCTTCCCCGTATCCCCCACCCTCCCAGATGGCAGTCCAGCCAGAGGAGGTTAGGGAGCAACCTCCACAGGATGGAGGGCAAGGTTTTATTTCGCTTAATTTTGAATATGCCCACCCCGCAGAACGGGGGTTCAGAGTCAGAAACTATGGTGCTGAGGAAAATAAAGTTCTAGTCCTTGCCCACCTGAATTTGGGGTGAATTATACTAGCTCCAGAAAAAGCAGAAGGAAGGATGTTCAAAGGGAAATGGGCCCAGAGTCTGGAGGATGAGTCTCCCAGCTGCTTTCTGGGGACAAGGCGCCCCCGTGACATCTGCGGTCTGCCCCCCGCATCCATTTCTGCATCCATCCCAGGCTACACGGTGGCATTGCCTGGAAGCTTCACACCCTATTTGCTCCTGGGGTTCCCCCAGAGATTCTGGTTTAATTGAGGTGAGGATTTCCAAATCTCCCAGGGGACTGCCCTGTGCAGCTTGGGCCGTGCACCGTGAGCTGGAAGCCGCCTTTGGGCTTCTCCCGGTGCAGGGCTTCTGGCCCCTTCCGCTTGGCCCTGGTCAAGCTGCTGGCTCGGGGTCACGGTAGAGATCGAGAGACTGATGAGCTGCCTTTGTGTGCGGAACGGGATTTGCACACCTGGATTTTCAGAGACGTGGACTGCTGGGTGTCAGAGAAGGGCAGAGAGAAGGACATTAGGGACGAGCTTGGCCCTGGGATGCTGGCAGTGTCAGGTGCCTCTGGCATGTGTACGAGTCAGGTTCAAGGTGTGAGGAGTCCACAGAAAAAGCGAGGAGCTTCCTCACCACCCCAGGTTCCCATCCAAGGCGTCTCACACTGGCCTTTCCTGCTTATTATGGGATGTGGGTTGCCATGGTAATAGAGGAAGCCGAACAGAAAGGGGATCACATCCTTCCACGCTATCGGTTGGCAACATAAGTTTTTCTGGGGTGAATGAACGAAGGCCGGAGGATGACAACATTGTTTACAGCGGTGCTAGAAAGGCTGGCCTGTCACCCTTATCTGACCTAGGACATTCTTCTGAGGCGGGAGATTAGGAGAGGGAAGCCGTGTAAAGGGAGCTCGCGTTGGAGGAGGGCTTCTGTAACTGCCTTTGAATCCTTTTTGCTGACTAGAAGCCCAAAGCGTGATGAGAGATTGTCGATCTCGGGATGATCTGGCCTTAACTGCCTGGTTGAGCCTCTGTCTACGGGTTCACTTGGGCCTCTGGAACGAATGCCAAGAGATGACAATCCCCTCTACGAAAGCCCACGTGTCTTTCTGGCATGTGTGAAAGAGTCAAAAGATAGACCATAGATTCCTGCATCGCACGAACCTGAATTCAGCTGCTTGATGATAAATTCAATCTGGCGGACTGTTTCGGCGTTGCCTTCTTTGATGAAGCAGCGAAGGATGTCTTCCATTCCCTAGAGGGACAGAGAGAGTAGCAGTTAACACTTTAGTGTTTTTGGGGGGAGCCAACAACAGTTCAGTGGGGTGCTTTCAGCTAATCCCTCCAAAATACTTTCTTATACATGCACGATAAAAATCCCTCGGCTCAGTACTAAACATTCCTTTTGTTCGCTTTATCATTCACAGTGAAATTATTTTCTTCTTGATTATCTGAACTAATTATAACGTATTTAGGAAAAAAAAACTTACAAAATTTTAATAAGCATTCCCGTTACATGGTAGAGTTCTTCTCTGCATCGATGAGCAGTTTTGGCAATATGATTTTTTTTTTTTGGT